GGAGGACTCAAAATGCAGGAATGAAAGATTAAATCATTTCATAAAAAAAAAAAAAAAAAGGAAACAAATCCAAACAAAACACAGAAACCAGGAAAATGGACGGACACAGAAAACGGACCAGCGACAAATTTGGTACAAACAGGGTACATACAGTATAGTATAGTACACAGGAAACACAAATGTAGGAGAGTCAATCAACAGGGGAAAAGGGTCAAACTAAAACAAATCCCAGAAGAATAGATGTCAAAATAAAATCTGGTTCCAAAAAACAAAAATCCACACCATGGCAGAATGTGACAATGACAATTTTACAGTTACGTTTCTTGAAGATAAAAATACACTAATCATGATCATTTTAGTGATTATTTTCGGATCACACCTGAACAAAAGAGCAATACAACAACAGTAGGCAAAACATTCATGCATACAAATACACACTCACAGACAGAAATCTATACTCATCATCCGCCTATTGTCTATTGTCACTGGCGTCTGATGAATTTTACATGTATTTATCTGTAATTATACGGTGCATGACTGAGACCTTTCAGGGAACACATCGAACAAAGAAGCAAAGGAGACAGAAACAAAAGTAGGTTTGATGTGGCATTCACTGGAGAATCCTGCTTTTTTGTAGAGTGACGACTGTAAAGGATTAGCGCTTTGTTTGGCTCAGCTCATTCACCACTGCTCCATCTGTGGTTCATCTGCCAAAAATCTATAGCGGCTGTATACTGCCGTGTAGGGTTTATTACTACTGCTTCTTTGTGTGTTGTTTGAGAGGGCGAAAAAGTGTTTAGACAGCCAAGAAAGTTGCCACAAGTCCTGCCATTTTAAAAGGCCTGTAATGTTCATCATAGGTAAACCTCAACTCAGAAAGACAAAATGAGAAAAATAATACGATTCAGTCTTCCCCACCTGGTGCAGGTCTACATTGCTTTGTTTATTCGTCTCCTTTGACAGCTTTTTGGTCTTGGCCCTAGCGGAGTTTGGAGTATGACTGTTTGTTATATGGATACAAAACATACTTTTTGAGTTGTGTTTGCATGTTCTCCCTGTGTCTGTCTAGGTTCCCTCTGGGTTCTCTGGTTTCCCCTACCACTATGCTCAATAGGTCTGAATGTAATGAGTGAGTGAATGGATGGTGTTGGTTGAGGACTTTAAATTGCCAGTCATCTCACTTTTGTCATCACTGTGTGTGGAGATAAAAAGATTTTTGGGGGACCTTGGTCTCTAAAAGTGCGCTATAAACATTAAAGATTACTCACTCACAGATTCAAATAAGTGCCTTTAATACAGGTAATGAGTGGAGGACTTACAGAAGAAGTTACAAGTCTGTGGGAGCCTTGCTTGTTTGTGAGTGACTAAATACTTTTTCCCACTATAATTTTTATACAATACATCAGAGGTTTTGGAGTCAAGTAAGCATTTGCATCTGTTTATTTCTGTTTATTTATTTTTTGTCTTGTTTTGTTAAGTTTATTGTTAAGTTTCATTGTGCATACTCTTCAAAAAAATCCTACAACTCCTATTACTAAATAATGTGACTTTCTGTTTTTGTTTTTTTTTCTCATATAGTCTCACATAGTTGAGATAAACTTGGGAGGACGTGCACAATTTGTGGCTGAATAAATACTTTGTTTGCCCCAATGTTTATTGTAAAAGCACAAATTTACTGATGCAACCATCATACATTTCAATATTCAGAGTGATTACATTTTCCAGATAAACTATCAACACTTGCTCCGAAAATAAAAATCACAATGGACAAATGATGCATTTCCTTTTGCTGTAAACATCTTAGAAAAATGTCTCTGCCTCCAGGCTTATAGAAAACCGAATGTGAAGACGGAAAATGTGTGATTGCCTTTATCTAAACTGTCAGACGAAATTATAGGCCATTGTAACTGGATAATGACTTTGTAATTGCACAATTACCTGGTGGAACAAAGGAGAGGGGGGATGTGCCACACGCCTGGGATTATCTACAGATAGAGATGTAACTGTGGTAATATTTGCAGGTGAGACATGTGGCTTTTTGTGAAGAGAGGACATCTCAGGGTAAGTCTTTCTGAAATAGATGATGCCCAAAATGACTCCAGAGACAAAAGGAAATGTTGAAATAAAATGTGTGATGTTCCTTTAGCCGTGTTTTTTTTTTTCTTCTACTCACCAGGCTCTATGCAAACGGTTGTTCCAATGAGAGCTAACAAATATAGTTTATTAGGGGAGTAGGATATACCATGGGATCTGAATGTTACAAACAATATTATAACATCTAATATAAGGTTTTCCTTCCATCAGTGATGTCTAGGTATAGTACATCTAATTATCATATATAAAAAAAAGAAATACACTTTGGTATTTCTCGATATTTTTAAAAATGGCCATATGTGGATACAGATTAAGTATGTATCCCCCCTCATTGGGCTTCTTAGTTTTTTTAATTCTATGAATTGAATTATGTTTGCAATGTGCTATATCTCCCATGCTCCAGTAAAATACTTTATATTATCTATGTACCACTACTGCTGATTTGTATACAAATATATTCTCTATTTCCAGAACATAACATACCAAACAAAAATAACTTAAGAAGAACAAGAATGTGAAATGTGTTAGAAATTCACAAAGCAAGGCCCGACACAAACCAATAAGTCCTTGCGCTTAGTGTCTTATGTTTCTTGTGATTTGGCGTTATCTCAAGCTGTGACTGAAGATGTTTCCATGCCAAAGTGTTGTTTTGTGAATATTTAAGGGAGGGGAGGGGCTGGAGTAAAGGAGGTCAGGGCTCTCTGGAGAACCCGGTTGTTGGCTGCAGCGCCACAGTCAAATAAGGATACTTTTAACTGCGACGTCTCACTCGGCTCCACGCTCTCTCCAATAAGATTTATTACTGCGGGACATGCAGAGAATTTGTAAATCCACTGTGTTGTGAAAGATAAGGGTTGTTTTTTGAGAAAGAAAGAAAATACACCCAAAAAAAACATGATTATAAGCAGAACATGTAAAGACAAGAAAGATAACACAAGTTACTTTTTGTCTGTTTATAAGACATAAAACAGCTCAAGAGTGAGGCAGATCGCTCGTGCTGGGTCCTGGTTGGATCCCTGGGCCAGACAGGACCTTTCTTTGTGGGGTTTGCATGTTCTCCCCGTGTGCTCTTTGTGCTGCAGTCTCCCCTACCAATTAAAGACTGTAAAATCAAACTGGTTGGTGATGATTGGAAATAGTGGCGTAAAGCACTTTGTGTGACCTTGGCTTATTAAACGCGCTATATAAATAAAGCTTAAATACTTTCTTGTGCAATTATTCAAAAAATATTTAACAATAGAGGGATTCTGACACATTTGGTTTCTCTATTTGGTTGTGTTCATGTTAATGTCCCTGAAATCCTTCATTCATTTTTTTGTACAGCTCAAAATCAAAACTTTGGATGTGTCAAAGGACTTTTGAATTTGCCATTTAGTTCCATCTAAATGTTGCAAATTACATATTTATAAAGCACTTTTCAACATGCTTTCCAATAGATTGTGCCAAAAAGTCCCACTAAATAATCCACAGACAACAGTAAATACATTTGACAGTCCACACTCACACATGTACATTC